GGGGGGACGAGGTGAGGCTGCCGAGACTCCTCCGTGCTCCTTTCTGGGCCGTTTCTTCATGTTGATGAGGGAAGGCTGCCTTCTCCGCGCTAATTCCCTCTTTTACCGAGGTGATTTGTCATGGCATGCGAGGGCTGGGGGTTACTCTGCATGCAGTCCCTGTGCTGCATAGCTTTTTGCACCTGTCTGCTCACACCTTTCTAAGGCGTTCTTTGCAAATGCAATGTTTTCATATAGCTGTCGGAAAGCTTTCCAGTCTATGGCTTTCAAAAGCCCACACTCTCTGCAAGACTGCAAGGAGTCAACACTGTAACTGCACCCTCTATGCTTTTTGTTTGGTTGGTTTTTAACCAATGTCTTCCTGTTGCTGCAGTTGCCCTTTTCCATGCTTTGTGGCTTGACATAACATTTATCAAGTTTTCGTAAGGGTAATGGGAGAATGTCCGCAGTACTGTGTTGTGCAGTTTACATGCATGACATTATAATTTCCTGCTCTGGTGGCCCCTTCAGTGTCTCTCGGCATGTTGCTGTCTGCCAGACCAGGGTGGTGATAGTGATTGTAATCAGTCTTTAATATTATTTTGATTTTTGGCATCTTACTCCATAGGGATTCTATCCCAGCAGGTGGGTTGTGGTTCCGCTCCAGCTGCCGGTGCTGAGCTCCTCACTCGCATCACTTGCACCAGTCCCCCCAGTAGCTGGTTTTGGGGACACACACCCTCGAGACACAGTGGCTGGCGTTCAGGAACCCCACCTGCTCCAGCAGCTGCACTGAAACCCCACTGACTCCAGGAGCTGAGACCACAGCCCCGGGGTGCCTGCACCCCCTGTCTGACCGCAGTAGCTGCCACCAAATCCGCTCCCGCTGGTGCCCCCAGTAACTGGTACTTCATCCTTGCAGCACTCACACCCACAGGATACAGAGAGATCATGCAAAAAGACAGTTAAGAAAGGATTTAGTGAGAAGGTAGGACAGACTGCGGTGATCCAGCGCAGGACTGGGTCAGACAAGCGCACTGACCAGCTCTGTTTTAACCGTGACCAGTCCCTTTTATACCCCTTTCTGCCTATTCCTCCTCAGTTCTTCCCCAATCCCTTTCCCCTCCATGTTCCCTCATCACTTTTCACAGTCACACCGACCCCTGTGAGCATCTTGGACCCACAGGTCCAGAGGCTGACCCTGTGCCAGAGGCTGCTTTTGTCCAACCTAGGGATCAGACTATTTTATGGACACAAAGCGTACATGTGGGTGGTGGGGAGCTCCTAAGGGATGTCTCTTCTTCCAGGAGCAAATACAGTCGCAGCTGGAGAGCCTCAGGAGAGAGAAAGGAGAACTGGAGAAACGGGAAAGGAAGGAGCGATGGATCTGCCAGGACTATCTGGTAGGTGTACGGTGCTACTGGGAAGAAGTTCATTTGGGGAGGGTGAAGAAAGGTTGATTCTTGGCCTTCAGAGTTGGGAGATAGAATCGTTGTGTCTAGCTGTTGGTGCACAATAAGCACCCCGGGAATCACAGTCATGCTCCACACCAGAAACTAAAAGCTGTGGATGCTTTTAATTGCTGCCTGTCCCTTTCCATGGTCCCACCCTCCCTTGAGAGGATTGTTTCTGCTTGTAAAGGAAAAAGTGAAGGCAGAGAGGCAGAAGATTGTGCCTGAATTTAAGCAGCTGCGACAGTACCTGGAGGAACAAGAGTGCCTGCTGCAGGCTCAGCTGGGAGAGCTGGAGAAGCAGATTAAAACAAGATTGAAAGAAAATGCTGCTAAATTCTCCAAGAAGATTATTTATCTGGATGGCCTGATCAAGGAGAAGGAGTGTCAGCTGTCAGGACACGAGTCCCTGCAGGTGAGGTCTGCTGAAACACCAGCGCTGTCTTGGCAAACAGCATGTGAGGCACCAGCAAATCAGAAACACACAACGGGCTAATCTTACCTTGATTATCTTACTTATTAATCTTATCATCTTGCTGGTGTGTCTGTTCACTGTGTAAGGGGAATGTGAGGAATGTGTGTGCAGGATAAGTAGCACTGAGCTGCTTATCTCTTTTCTCCCATCTAGGATGCTGGTGATGTTTTGAGCAGGTATGTGTTGCTTTCTCCTTTACGTTACGCTGCTGCTTTGGGGTTGCAAAGATTCCTGCCCCAGAACAAAGCTGGATACCTCAAATACCAGGGATGCCCCAGTGATGTTTATATTTCAGTTTTCCAGAGGCTGATGAACCAGTATGACTCTACCAAGAAAGTCTATCCCTGGGGAAATATTCAAGGAGGACATTTCATTTCTAAAAGGTCTCTGGTTGCAAGCCTCGCTGGCTTCGCCATGACTGATGTGTAGTGACACTAAGGCATAGAGACCAGGGCGTAGTGCCCTTGGCTCAGGGCTTCAGCACTTGGTTGTGATGCAGGTTTGCTCTGAAGGGACAGGGTGGCTGGGGGCACCAGGATCATCACTCACAATAGAAATTTAATTGTCAATTAGAGCATCAGGACAGAGTAGTGACCTAGCCAATGAGACTTGCTGTCTCTCTTCTCGTGATGCTCTCATGTAAAAAAAAAAAAAAAAAAGAATGAACTTTCTGGAGGGCATTGATTCAGCTGGAGAGTGGCCTCTGGAAACTGGCACTAACAGGAGACTGAGTTAAAGGAGCAATATAAATGCTGTGGCTTGTACAACTCCAGGTGTGAGAGGGCAAAACTCCAGCAAAAGGAGCAGATGAGCCACGAGCTGAAGAAGGAGCCCGGCGTCTGCTCGCAAAAAGCTCCCATGCTAGAGGAGATGGCAAGAAAACCCCAAGGTACAAAGAAGGGATCTCAGGAGAACAGAGAAGCGTCCCGGGGGTGGAAAGAAAGGGGTAGTCAATGCCCTGCAGAAGGGAGAAAAAGCTGAATATCCTTGTGTAGCATGTCCTGCCCTGGGGACGCATTCAAGAGGTGTCACAGCTAAAGTGGCAGGGTGTTCCCTTTCCTTTATTTTTATATTTTTTTTCCCCACTCTCTCTTGATATCCCTTTGCTTTTATTTTTCACCAAAAATATAGTCAACATTAGTGTTGATTCACATCATCAGCTATGGAGCCCACTAATAAGTTGTTGTGCATGTGAACCTGTTGCAACACCCTTTGTGCAACATCTGACTTGGATGCTGCCACAGCTCTTTCTGCTCTCGATCTGTGCTCCAGACCTGCTCCGTGGTTGGAAATGGGTCAGGGACGTGAACAAGTCCCAGATGTCCCAATATGCCCAAATGATTCTCAGCTCATGCTCTCCTAATGAGGAGGCTCATCCCCAAAGAAGTGATTGAGATGACTGTCAAGCAGCACCTGGCATCATGCAGAGTAATTTAGGCTGGAAAGGACCTCTGGAGGTCATCTAGTCCAAACCTCTGCTCAAAGCAGGTACCACTAGGTGGGATTGCTCTGTGTTTTTTCCAGTTGAGTTCTGAGTATCTCTGAAGATGAAGATGCCACAACTCCTCAAACCATCTCGGTGACCCTCTAGATGTGCTGCAATATGTCCATGTCCATCTCATGCTGGGTAGCCCCAAATTCTTTTTTGCTCCTGCTACTTTAGGTTTCTTCCTTCCTGCTTCAACTGGAGAAGGCGCAGCAAGCAGTGTGTGCACTGGGGAAGGAAGGGTGCAGTATCTCTGCCCACCAGCTCACTGGAGCTGGTCTCCACAAACCACCTCCCAGTGTTGGTGGAGTTACCCAGACGTCAGAGGTGACCTTTGGGCTCCACCTCTCTTTCAGATGCTTTGACAACTGACACAGGGGAGGGAGTGGAGGAATCACAGGGACCGTACACAAAAGGTGAGTTCTGCTGGGGAGCCTCCTCCAATTAACCCTGGTTGCGAGGGATGCAACACATGTTTTGGGAGACAGTGAATCTTCACATGCCTTGGCTCAGGGCACAGAGCTGCTCCACATTTTGATCTAGGCACCTTCTGGAAGAAAAGTATTGCCAGGTTTCCTCCCAAGCCAGGACCAAACATGGACCCAGCATGGTGAAACTCTTCCCAGGACTGATCTCTACCCCTTGTTCTTTGACCCGTCTTCTCTGTTGCAGTGAACGTGACTCTGGATCCAGACACAGCTCAGTCCCGGCTCGTCTTGTCAGAAGATCAGAGAAGTGTGATGCAGGGAGCCACACAGCAGAGCCAGCTTGACAACCCAGAGCGATTTGACCCATGGCCTTGTGTGCTGGGCTGTGAGGGATTCGACTCGGGGCGACCATGCTGGGAGGTGGAGGTGGGCTATGGGTCGTGCTGGGCTGTGGGGGTGGCCCTGGAGTCCGTGAAGAGGAAGGGACCAATTGACATGAGCCCCATGGGGGGGATCTGGGCGGTGGGGCAGTATAAGGAGAAGTTCCAGGCTCTCACTTCCCCATCTCCCACCCCTGTCCTCGCCAGCACGGTCCCCCGGAGGGTGCGGGTCTGTCTGGACCATGCAGGGGGACAGGTGATGTTTGTCAACGTGGACAGCGAGGCTGTGATTTTCACTTTCCCGCGAGCCATGTTTGCGGGGGAGCAAATCCACCCCTGGTTCTGGGTGGGTAAGGCGTCCCAGCTCAAACTGTGTCCTGAGACCTGAGGAGGTGTGTCCCTCCGAGGAGGCTCTGCTGTGGCCACCCTGCCCTCCTGCATCCCCATCTGGCTAGTCCTTGGGGACTCCTATCTGCTTACAAATCTTCTGCCATCTCCATCTACAAACATTCTGCCGTGAGCCTCAGAGGCTGTTGAACTCCTGTCTGCCTGCCCGTGGTGTAGGAATTGCCTCGCTGGGAGCAGAGATCCATGGGCTTCCCCAACCTTGGTCCTACCACAGTGGAAGAGGCTTAGAGCAGGGCTCTGGGTGAAGAATGGCCACTTCTGGGGACATACTTTATTTACAGAAGCCTTGAGGGGGATTGGGGGGCATAGCAGTGGCATTGGAGTGCCTAGCGATGGTATATTTTTACTTGAGGAAATAGGCAGATGGGTAAGGAGAATGAAACCTTGCTCAGCAGCCCACTTGGCCATGGGGTGACTCTCTGTAGCCCTGAAGCCTGGGCAACCTCTGTGTATTAGTCCCTGTGGTGGGCCTGATTTGATTCTTGTGTTAGCTCAAGAAGACACAAGTAAATATTGATCTTTTTGGGAGGTGCTAGTAGAATTTACATCTCGAAATAATTTTGTGGGTGGAATTATAATAACTGCTTTTTAACAAATCAGTGTACCCGATAATTCTTCAGTGTTCGACTCTTCAATTTGTTTCTCTGGTTGTGATGAGGCTCTTGGTAAGAAAATTTAGAGGTTTAGATCTTCTCCAGCTAAAGAACTAATACCAGGAATTTGCTGAAGTTTAGGAAGAGGCTGTAAGAATTGCTGGTTTGAGACTTGCTGATTTGTAGAACTGCCAGGATTTGTGGCAGTGCATGGTAAAAGTGAAAAATATGAATAACCAAAGTTCAAATGCTGATCAAACAAATGTGAAACTAAACCTCATCCCACAAGACCTTCCTGACAGATAAGAAAGGATGTAAACACGTTGGCTCTATCTACTTCTGTTGAAAAAGCTGACCTGTGAAAGGAAGGTTGGGGGCTGGAGCAGAGGGGAGGGATTCTAAGAATGGTGAGGAGGAACAATGCTACAAACACAAACTCTGCCCAGGATGCTTAATACAACCTCTGGAAAGGGGGGGGTGTGAAAAAGCATCTGTGAAAGTCACAGCTTGCTTAAGGGTGAAGCCCACTCCTCCTTGCTCTGTGGCCAGAAGCCCAAAGTGACCTGCCGGGTTTGGCTGTGGTACTGCTGCAGGGTTTGATTCCAGCTCTTCCTAGACGTGAACCCATCTGCCTTTGTGCTCTGGCTGTGGGATCTGGCCTTCCTCCCAGTGTGCTCGTGGAAATGCAGAGGCACGGCCCCGGCGGGGGTAAGCTCTCCCTCCTCCTGCGCGGGCACAAGGTCAGCTTTGGCACCAGGAGCTGAGGATGTGCTGGGACCAAGGTGTAGGCAGCCACTTGGAGACCTTGTCCAGTCCTACCAGGATTTGTCCCTCTTCTGTGCTCCGTCAGGAGCATGAGTTTGGGATTGGCTCCTTGGACGATCCTTTCATAGAATCATTAAGGTTGGAAA